CAAAAAAAGCTTCCTACCTTTATCGCTTCCTTCAACATATACGACTTCATAATGACTTGAAACGTCACATCATCTGTATTGAACTGGAAGTCGAGAATCTTAAGGAAAAAAGTTTCATACCTTTCTCTCCTTTATTAGTGTACAATCAAGTCCTCTCATAGTTGATATCGACGCAGTGTGGCGGAGTTGTGAGGAAAGGAGGGATGAACCCACCCGCCACTGCGTTTTCTACTAGTGGCTGGTTCTAGAAAGCAGTCAGTGGTAGAAATGATGCGGGTGGGCTCCCTCCGCGAATCCTGACACCGCGCCACCGCAAAATTAACTGTATATTAAAGATTCTACTACTTCAGACTTCGAATCCTCTTACAATTTTCCGACCGACCGATATTCTGGCCACTTTTGGTCTTTTCCCTCAATTGTAACTCTAAGGAGCCAACCAAAAGTATACCAGTGACCGCAGCGCTACCGCACGCGTCACGTGTGCCTAACTCTCGCTTTACCAGCTCATTTTTTCTGCACTGAGAGTAGCTCACCTCTTCAGTTGTTAGCGTCTGAACATTCATATCAACGACTATTCCATCTTCTTCGAGGATAAGTTTCACTGGTTCACCGGGACCATCGTACGTCATCTTCAATGTAGCTCCAGATCCCGTATGCATACTTATGCATTCCTATGAAATTTGATGTGATCAATCAAGGGGAGAAAAAGAATTAGTTTAAAGGCACAGTCCGCGACCGCAAATTGCGGGAAACGGAACTCAAATAGGCACAAAAAGTGCTAAGTATCTGATTAGCGGAGAAAAGCAGCAGAAAAAGCAGTCCGAAATGTTATAGAGAAAGATAACATAGTGGCTACTAGCTAGTAGCTAGCAGCCGGTGAGGGTCGGCATGGGCCTAAGGGGTGTCCATGGGCCTAATTAGTCAGCTTCTAGCGGAGTTCTTGCCGTTTTTCACATTTTGAAAGTAGCGCAGCCTCAAAAATCGCCTTCCGGATCGTCCGACACATTTGAGAGGTCATAGCCTTATTTTATCGCGGAATGTGCCTTTAAAGGCCTCATTCTTGTTCCCCGCTCCTTCTCTTCACAGGCAGGCAGCCTCTTGGTGCCTAACAACAACAGGAAGCAAACGGTCCTTTAAGTGACAGAAAAGCCAGTAATCACCGCAATATACGTCAAGTGGAACCATGCCGCTAAAGTGGGGTGGGCGTGGCTGCGCACTCATTGCGACGACCCCCTGTTTGGCAGGATATTTCGGCTTTGAATAATTGTAAACATGCCTTGTCCAGCACAAGAGAGGATGACAGTTGTTTCATATGGAAATATCCGACAAAGTACTCATCCTACGCCGAGTTCAAGGTAAGAGCTCAGCCACGCCCATCCCATCTCCGGGATACAGAATGTATGTTAGAGCAATCACACAGGCCTGTCATAGCGCGATACAACATGAAGTGGAATCCTGAAGTGCACAGCTCGATCACGTAGAATGAAGCTTGAAAACAGATCATTCGATAGGTAGGCAATCGCCTGAAATGAAGAGCAAAAGTTCACGGTAAGACTAGTAGTTGAGAAAATGTAGGTTTTCACAGCACTAATTTCCCACAAAAACTTCATTACTATGAATACTGTTACAGGTTTGGAACGAACTACACTCGAATCCATGGATCCTTGCACTGCCATGTACGCGTTCAGCTTCTCGGGCTCGAAAAGTGCACAAGGAACGGGTCTGGAGGGTAGCGGTACCTGGTGTTCATTCGTATTCCGCCCGCACAGCCGTCCCCGGCCCTAACACTTAGCCAATAGCCAACGAGCTACTTGTCTGCACCTCTCATTTTTGGGCTGTTCTCGCTCTCAGTGCGTGTTTTGCCGCAGAATTTTGGTATCGACACAAGTGTTGCACCTTGAGAATAGCGCGGGCGAAGTGCGCAGACGACGCTGGAGCACCAATATCTAACACTCCCGTCTAGCGCTTTTCGAAAGGAGAAGGTAGTACGCTGCTCTAGCTGAGACCCATTCGTGCACACAGACCGTCCTCGGAGGTGACTGTACAGTTTGCCTTCGTTGTTTTAGTCCTCAGCGTACGACTAGCACCCCCTCTTACGCATTATCAATACTCAGCAAGGGGGCCGACACAAAATAAAATAGTTTCACGAAGAGAAGACAAACTTACCTGTTGGCAATGATGGTCATCAACAAGAATCCGCATTCCTTGTGGAGTTGCTTGGAAGGTAGCATTCTGAATTTAAGAAGCTGGTGAGAATGATCTGGTCGAACCGGCTAATCTCCACAATAAAGCCGTCTGCAGATTGCGGTTCAGTGATGTGGGACTGCGCGAGAATGGTTCAAAGGCATATTCCACGCTAGCAACTGGGCGGAGACAGTTAATAGTTGCGCCAACCTCATTCCAAGAAGGTGAAGATTAGGTATGCATCTGAAGGTAAAACCATTGATTGTCTCCGCTCATGCGACCAGAGTAAACTGTGCTCTCAAACTCAGCACTTATTCGACGGCAACGGTATTTGCAGACCGGGCGGGGCAGCTTACAATACGAACCAGCAAACCGCCCGAATAGCAAACCATAGAAGAGACCCAAAAATCCAAATGAATATGTTCACCTCTCGAAAGGATATTGCCTTGATAATGCTGGCCAGATCTCGTACGTGCGTCTTCTTCAATTCCAACACGTGAACCAGATCCGTGCGAGCGTCACCAGCACCAGCCATTTGCATTCTGAAGGCGCGATGTTCAAATTATGTGGAACTTCGAATAAAATACCACGGGAGCGTTTATTCCAGTACACTCACCCGTGGGTAGCAATAGCTGATACAGAAGGTCAGCTAGTATAATATAGTTCACTCTATGAACCAACAGGAAAGGATTGTTCGTGGCTTCTGCCTGGCAGATATACAGGAGGGGCCAAAAAAGACACTT